CCACACCCACACACCCACAGCTACATCACCAACCACGTGTACACGGACTTTAATCCTTCTAATCACCACAACCACCACACCCACACACCCACAGCTACATCATCAACCACGTGTACACGGACTTCAATCCTTCTAATCACCACAACCACCACACCCACACACCCACAGCTACATCACCAACCATGTGTACGCGGACGTTCTCTACTTCTCGGCGCTGATGGATGTGTGTGAGCTGCAGATAGCCGAGGCCTTCTGTCGCCTGCCACACTATCACGCACTGTTCATCAGCTGCAACGAACCCATTGCCACGACGCGGTGGTGTGGGCAATGCCCCAAGTGTGCCTTTGTGTTTGTGCTGCTGAGCGCATTCCTCGACCCGCCCCAACCATGGGCGGTATGTGGCTAGGCGTAGGTCATTGCATGACCGCAAAGTGCTCTGAGTGTGTGTCTGTGTCTGTGTGGGTGTGGGTGTATGTGTGTGTGTGTGTGTGTGTGTGTATGTATGTATCTGTGTGTCTGTGTGTAGGTGTGGGTGTGTGTGTTTGTTGTGTATGTATGTGTGTGTGTGTGTGTGTGTTTGTTTCTGTGCGCAAGAGTGTATGCCGTATGGCAAGAGAGTGTACCTACATGTCCATTGTGTTTGTTGTGCTGTCTTTATATGTTATACGGATGAATGCTTGTACCCGTCTTTATGATAATCTCATCTCTAGTAGCTTTGGTCTTCATCTGTCCAGTATATTAGCTCTTAATCTTAATATTAGTACCTGTAGTCGTAGTTTAGTCCAGTAGGTTGAGTCATATTAAACTGGTTTGGCAGCTTAAAGTATAGGCAGCCAGGTATGTACTGGGCAGATATAGCACAAGACTACATATCAATATCTGGTTAGTATCCCCCCCCCCCCCTCCCCCTACAGGCGGCCCAAACTGTACATAAGCACAGTTTGACATTCTTATTATTTTTATCATGTTATTATTATTCGTATGATGTTGTTATTATTATTATTGTACTAGACCCACATGGTCTTCAAAGGTTTTTATATAACGCATTGCGATGACAGGTGTTTGGCGACAATCTGTTTGCGAAAGAGGCGCTGTGGCCTGAATTTGAAGCGCTGATGGGGTTGGGTGAGCACAAACCCTTTGAATGTGTGGGCACGGCCGAAGAGACATTCGTGGCCCTAAAAAAGGCCCGCTCGCGCTACAAAGCTACATATCCTAATATGGATTTGCCACAGTTTTTTAATCTGCACCAGCGCACTCTAGACAGGACGCCCGACGCTATGAAGCACACGGTCGCGTCAACGGCAGCAGATGAACAGGTGAGACACACACCACGTGTGTTGCAATATGTTGATGAAGGAGGTTCGCCTACAGTCTATTCGTGTCAGTGCTTGTGCAAGTTGCGCGGGCACCATTGGTTGTCGTAGCTGTTGCATATGTGTTTGCATGTTCTATATATACAAATTTAAGTCAGTATGTGTGCATCCATCACTCTTGTGCGTGTGAGATTATCTGTGCGCATATATATGTATATATATATATATGTATG